AAACCCTTTTCAGAATCTTTTTTATTCAGGCAATTCTACAATTTTTGGGTGGGGGTGCCATATGGAACTCTTACCAAATTCACTTCCGCGACACCTAGACCTAAATCACTATTCAATAGTAGAATTAACCGTCACTTTATAGCATCCATAGGGCTTAAAGTGCGAGCATAATTGATGGGTCTTGACTCCGCGACCCGCAGATCGCGAGTCCAGCGTTCTGACCACCAGTCTGTGCCAGATCTCTAAAGATTCGAGCCATGTCACGCATGGGCGTCCGCGGAAATTTTTTCGGGGTGGGGCAAAGTAGTGTGAAATTGTGAAGTGAATAAAAAAAATCACATACATATGCTAAATGAATAAAGAATTATGTTTCTCATTTTCCAGAGGGGCAAATGCTCCCCCCATCCCCGCGGACGTCCATGATGTCATGCAGGTATCAATAGCGTTTTATCTATACAAAATGAAAAAGTTGCACCTATTTCTAAATTGAGATGGCGGAATATATTTTTGCTTTGAGTGACGTATTCTTTTTTTATCGTCAAGTTCAAGAACAAAAAAGCACGAAATAGACACTTTACGAAATATTTATTTAAATGACTGCTTACAAGATAATTTTCATAATAAAAAGATAAAATATTAATCATAAATTGGGTGTATATAATAAAACATTCATCAGGGTAATTGTTCCAGCTAAAAGGGTACCTCGTATCAATTATACCAGGAAAATTGTTCACATATTTACAGTAATCTGAAGTGCTTGAAAATACATAGTGACGGAATGCAAACATTTTATTTAGTAATCCAAGCACTAAAGCAGTTGAGTATGTTTAGAATAAATATCTTAATTATATCAGTGTCATAGGAACGTTTCCAAAATGGCGACCACAGTAAGAAACCCATTCCTATACAAAAGATTTACAGTCGTCAGTGGCAGTTACAATATGAAGCTCAAGTGCTCATGCGCAAAGTAACGACGAAGTTCAAATTAAGTTATACACGTTAAAACAGCGGGAAAGTAATCTGGACGGGCTTCTTACAGCAGTGCCTGCTATATAGAACACATCAACTTTCAGAATATAAATTTATAATAATAGTTTATACTGTTAAACAGCTTAAATATGCGAAAAGTTTGTCCAAAACTCCACGAGGATGGATTTAGTTGCGTCTCATTTTAATGGAAACCGTAAATATATATATACATGCCTTCAATATAGCTCGAAAAAACAAATGAAATTAATTAAACTCATTTTCAATAAAGGCCTTTAAATTCTTAAGAAATGAAATCGTTCTCCTAATAATATTTTAGAAGCAGTAAAATTGACTTATGAATAGGAATGTTACGAAAATATGCCAGGAACAACACCTGAACAGAAACACTTCTATTATTTTAACTGTACCAATTCCTAGTGAAGTCGAAGATGTCATCACCATGCACAGAATTAATTTTCCAACAAAGCTTATAATCGTACAGGAATGTTTTTTTAATCACTGATCTTGTTTGCTTTCTCTAAGCAGAAACAAGATCATTACACACAACAACAACAACAAAAATTGACCACTTCCACAGATCCTTCGTATCCAGGAAAAATGTCGCTCACGACTAGCTGACGTTGAATTGTAACACTCTCTTTTATGGACAATAAAATCAATTTATTGCAAAAAAAGCATTGATTATCAAATCATTAAAAGTCAATAAACTTGAGCATGGCATTCTATTTACCAATCCTCCTCATGCAGAACATTATCAAGTTGACTTAAAATGTAAAAATGTCTTCTTAATCAAGGTAAGTTTTTTCAATAAAAGAATTAATATGTCAATTCATTAGGTAAATAAAGCCCAATATTAAGTATTTTAATTCTGCATCAAAACTATTTTTTTAAGTTGATCTGTACTGACACGCCCTTTTTAAGAATTAACCATTTACTAAACAGGTTAAATATCAAGTTAGTCTATTAACTAGCATTCAAACACACTTTCTTCATTCCACTGTGAGTTGATCCAAACTAACATTATCTTATAACCACACCGCATGCTTTCTAACGAAGACTATCGAATTTGTCTGCACTTCCACAGAAAGTTTATATATAAATCTGTAAGCTAATTCCTTCTGTCTGAGAACTAAAAATTTTTAAAATGCACAATTTTTCCTTAATCAAAACAAACATACTAGAGGGAAAGAACAATTTAGGAAGTTTTTCAATGCTCCTATTTACACACTCCTTTTTTTTTTTATCAAAATGTTTAAACCTCTCATCTTACTCCAGCCACAGGCCTAAGGTCCATCAAGGAAACAACTGTCTCTCTTTGATTACTTTACCCTTCTCACCAAAGTCACGTGCCTTAAATACCACAAGAAAATCACTGACTCTTTGATTAATATACTCTTCTCACTCATTTCATGCATCAAGTCCATCAAGGATATCACAATATCTCCTTGATTAACCTATCCTTCTCACTCATTTAATGCCTCAAGTCCATCAAGGATATCACAATATCTCCTTGATTACTCTATCCTTCTCACTCATTTAATGCCTCAAGTCCATCAAGGATATCACAATACCTCCTTGATTAACCTATGCTTCTCACTCATTTAATGCCTCAAGTCCATCAAGGATATTACAATATCTCCTTGATTACTCTATCCTTCTCACTTACCTCATGCCTCAAGTCCATCACAATATCTCCTTAATTAATCTATCCTTCTCATTCAATTCTCATGCCTAAAATTCATGAATGAAACAGTCTCATTGATTAATCTACACTTCTCACTTAAATACCCTACCTAAAAATGTTTAAGATAAGCACAGTTTCCATTCAAATCTTATGCCTAGATCACTAAGGAAAGAAATATTAATACCTTATCAGCCTAACTTTGTTCAGGTAAGATAACCAAGATAAGAAAAACTTACCACATCTCATCAGAGGATCTCAAAACTGCCACTACTGCTGAGTGTGTTATGCACACAAAACATAGATGCTAATAATTCTACTCCCCACCCCTTTTTTTTTATTAAAATGTTTAAAACTCTCAATGACACAAATGTAGTTATGTTAATATTGGCATAAAATTAGTTACAGCTTATCATACACTTAAAAAGCTAGTGAATATGATAATTTCAGTGAATCAATTTTATGGCATTTACAACAACATTTATAAAATGTATCATTCTAGATTATTAATTCATGATGTCCTATTCTAAGTACTAAATTACACAGAAAGAAATAATAGAGTCCTAAATCTAAGATAAACTGGATAATTGTTTTTAATGAATAGATAAATCTAGTGCCATAGTTGGGATATTAAAACCAATCAAAGATAATAAAAGGAACTAAACCACAGAATTAATAAATACGAAATGTAAAAAAAAACTACATAAGAACAATATACTAAACAGAGAAATTGGTGTTCATTCTAAAATCAAATACTTAAGGTTTACAACGCTAAATATACAACTGATATTATAAACAGAGAAATTACAATACTGTGATAACTGAAAATTATGGCAGAGATAAAAAAAAATAGAACTCACGTTTTTTATCAAAACAAACAGACTACAAAATCGTTTTATGTAAAGTAATTCGGGAATTTTTAATGTTGATTTAGATCACTGAAACTTATAGTTGATAGCAATATGCTAGAATTGTAACTTGTTTATATCCTAGTAAGGTTGAACACCATGTTTTTAAGTAAAACAAAATTAGTGATAGAAGACCCTCTGGCATGCAGAAGGTTATTACATCTCTTTCTCACTAAAGTCACCCTTAAACCATAAGAAAGCTAAGCATTAAATATAACAAAGTTGATAACTTATATTCAAACAAACTTATCCACTGTATACATCACATACAATAGACAAACAGTGTAATACAACTAGGTTCTTTCTCCACTCTATTCACAGAAGTTGAGCACAATATAACTATTCTAAACGTCAAACCTTCGGCTATTCGATATGGGCTAAAACTATACATATTTCAGGAGGGAACAATACAATTCTCGATACTTACATCATTTAAGTTTGTTAAAACTTTAACTGTTTTTCAAAAATACAATGACAGCAACTTTTAAAGTAGGTAAGTTCTGATTAAAATAATTACAACATTTTGACCCATAGTACGGAACCATCTTACCTGATGATGACCCGATACTATGGGTCGAAATGTTGTAATTGTTAAAATCAGAACTAGCCTATTATAAGAGTTGCTGTTGTCGTATTTTTAACTTAATCATTTAGTTCAGTAAGTTCCTCACTAGTCTTTAATTGTTTTTATTTGATAGAAACATTTTATGTTAGTTACGGTATCAAAAAAAAGTTCTGAGGGAGGAGAAACTTAAACAATTTATGGCGTGGGTGGTTGGAATCGGTTCCTTTTGAATATTCCTGTCTTCGCATTCTTGTTCTTTTCACTTGAACCTTTACCTTGAAAGAAAAAATATCGAAGTGAAGTTTCTTCAACATTCAGACCTCAACATTATCTGCTGGAGAATAGCATGATAATAATATACAACAGTGTTTATTGAGCATATTTAAGTCCTTTGTTAAAAATAAAAACTAGTACAAAGTAAAACATATTTTTCGAAATTTATTATTTCTTCAACAATCGCAATTCTATACTTGTAAGTCAGTTGACCTTTGTTACAAGGACAATGTCCTTACTATTTTAAATAAATATCACAGAAAAATATATTTGCTTAATATTACCATGAATAATAAAATACTGTGTACATATCTACAATTTTAAACCTTCAAATTCCAAAAATGGTTAGATAACTAAATGGTACACCTAAACACATCACAGACTTAATTACGGTACACCTAAACACATCACAGACTTAATTATGGTACACCTAAACACATCACAGACTTAATTATGGTACACCTAAACACATCACAGACTTAATTATGGTACACCTAAACACATCACAGACAATTATGGTACACCTAACACATCACAGACATAACTACGGTACACCTAAACACATCAGACTTAACTACAGTACACTTAAACACATTACAGACATAACTACAGTACACCTAGACACATCACAGATTTAATTATGATATACCTATACACATCAGACTTAATTATGGTACATCTAAACTTAATTAGAACCAGTAGTGATTTATGAGCAAAGTGACTTCATTAAAATGGAGCAGTTTCAGATGACTAACACTAAACTATAGTTTCAGATCATCAACAGTAACCACATTTTTTGATCACTAACGCTATACTTTCAGATCATCAACAGTAACTAAATTTTCTGATCACTAACAATATAGTATAGTTTCAGATCATCAACAGTAACTAGTATTTCAGGTCACTGATACTAACTACACTTTCAAATCATCAACAATAATTAGTTGTAGATCATTGAAAATAACTACAGTTTTAGAACACTGACACCTAACTATAGTTTCAAATCATCACAAATAACAACCATTTCAAATCACTGAAACTAACTACTGTTTGGATAAAATTTCCATATATTAGGTAAAGAAAAGCAATGTGTATTATCTGACAAAAAAATATTCAAGTAGTTAGAGGGAAACTCCTTATTTAAATTTCTATGGTACATGTAACTCGCAAGGCCAATGATTTAATAAATCCAAAATTAAAGTAACAGGCAATGGATTATTTAACATCAAGAAATTAATTACCTAGAGAACCTGAATATGTTTTAGAACTGGCATTTGTAACTTCTGATGAATTCTGAAAGTCTCCTACAAAAAACAATAGAAAAATATTTGTTTAAATATTGCACAATATTTATATTATTTATTTTAATGCTTGAAAAAATAGCATAACTTTCAAGAAATGTGTTACAATAACTATGAACAACCTACCAAACAAAGCAATATAAGAGAACTGTACTTAATATTAAGAATAAAAAAAAGACTTGATAGAAATAATCACTTCAGCTCAAAATGCTGAAGAAATATAAGCCACTTCAATACTAGCATCGGTTCCTAATACCGGTATGAACTGTATTGTGCTCATTCACAACTATGACTAACAAACAAACAAATCAGGTCTGGAGTTTTAACCCTATAATTATTTCTGGCTCCATGTGAATACCATCAGCCTTTTAAACACAACTGTCTACAGTATTTATTCACCAAACTGATTTTAGGTCAATGATTTTGTTTTAGGTACGAGTTATTAATAACATGCAAGTTACATAAAAAAACTTAACATGTATTAATTTAGTCTTAGAATGCTTTTTTAACACTACTGTATGTTAATGACAATAAGATGAAAACAATATTCCAAAAGTTCAGAGGTACGCTCCCAATAAACGTGAAAGTAGCAGAACTACTCGTTACTCGTACTTTGGTTGAGCTTGTTCAACGTAAGTGATGGGAACTTGATTTTGACAGTAATTTTTATCTTCAATTCAGAGCTTATTCGTCCAATATTTTTTATAGTCAGCCGCATGATGAGGTGTTGCTTTCACTACATTAACAATATAAAAGGCTGTAGTGATCAGAAATAATGGAAAAGTGACTTTCTCTAACTGGGACTTGAACCTAGGATTCATGACTCACAGTAGCACTCTGAAACCAAAGGTATTACTAATTTAGCTACGAGTGTTTCAAACCCGAGAACACAACTCTCCACCTCACTAATCTGGTATAATGAACATCCATTACTTTTGAGCACTTTAGGTTGAGTTCCATGTTTGCAGCGAGTATGAGCATTTAATTTTATCTGAACCTTCTTTGTATTTTATTTTTAAATAAAACACATCAAATTTTCTTTTATCAATATGGAAATATTTTGCCTTTCTAAATGTGGAAAGGTATAGTTTTACAGTCTGTGTTTTTGTTACTTTAGTATAGATTATTGGTATTTAAATTCAATTAAGTATCACTAATTATTACTATTTTTAAGTCTACCATTTGAATGGTTTACTTCTAGTTTCAGAATGTTATTTTGATTTTGTGCAAAGTAGTTTTGTAAGTTCATAATATTGGAATATGTTTAATTTTGTATACATGATTATAAGTACTGTGTTTGCACTTAATTTAATTTACTTGGCTTTAGTGAGTACATTTATACCATTCTGCAAAGCTTTTACATTTTTACTGTTGTAAATAATTTTTACTTTTTTCTCTCCTCCTTTAATTTACCCAATCATTTTAAAATACATTTGCCCTCTCACCTAGATAATGGGAATAAAACACCTCTATCTATGAAATCTTACTTATATTTCAAATAGAATTAATGTCCTAAAAACAAAAGCTGTTGTTGCAAAATAAGACAATATAAATTTATTATTTAAATCTGCCTTGCATATTATAAATAACACAAACAAAAGCTGTTGTTGCAAAAATAAACCAATACAATTATATTATTTAAATCTGCCTTACATATGATAAGTAACACAAAAGGGTTAGCTAAGTTAAAAACAAAAACAAGCAGACAAAATTCATCTATCATAAGTTCTTCCTTTTGGTAACAACTTGATGAATTACCATACTGACAAGGTAGTTCAATTACTAACACATTTAGCCAAACACCTTATTTTATGAGCTCATTGGTCAAAAAAAAACATTTTCTAACATTGGACCATTGCTGGATTACATGATTGTAGTAACTAAACACCAAGTGTCCCATTAATGTTTATTATCTTAGGAGAGAAACATCTCTATTTAGAAGGACAGTTCTACTACAATTGTGAAGTTGTTGTGTAAGGGAGGAGGGGGGGTGGGTGTGTATGCCTAGTTTGCCGAAATCTCTGATTTGGTTCTGGCTCAGCAGATGCATCAGTTGATACAGAGAACTCGCTCCTAGCACCACTAAATTCATATTATGTCATTAGATTCACTGGAACTACCAATGAAATAAAATACTCCACAATTCCCTGTGACAAACATATCTTTCAATCACTGAATTTGATGAGCTAGACAGATGAAAAGATAAGAATTTATATAGGAAAGTACCAATGTTACTAATGTGTTATCATCTATTCCCAGGCTGTGTAATTCAGTTATACACCAAAAAAGAAAATTTTCAGGGGCTCCAAGAAAGCCAAGGGAAATTTTCTAGGCTTACCAGTTAAGAGGTTGAGATGGACCTTTACTGAATGTAGAAACAGTAGCAGCAAGTCTAGGGCAACTGCTGGTGGACAATTGCCGGCGAGCAACTGCCAGTTAAAACATCCGAGTAATCCATATCCCCCCCCCCCTAAAAAAAACTTAATAGATGTAGTTTAAAGGAGGATTGTCTAGATTTTATAACAAAAGGCCATTTACAATTTTCATTTCCATTAAGTAATTATTTATTAATCAAATTGCTAATAGCCAGTGTTCTAAAATGACACTAACTACATATAACCTGTAAAATTAAAATTGAAAAGTCAGTATCTTAAGTAGAGATTAAAATGCTAATAGCTAATGATATTACTGTAATAACACTTGTGTTATATGTTAAATCATAATTGAAAGGTCAACTTACCTTGGTGTATTAGAACAATTGTTTAATTGTAGTATAACCCGAGGTTTACAAACTTTAATGCTTGGACAAATTTTACCTTGGAAAATGATTAAAATAACATTTTTTTCTATAAAAAAAAAAAAGCCAAAATCATTTTATTTTTATTGTATGCAGAATTTGGATTACTCAGATCTTTTGACTGGCAGTTGCCCACTAGCAAGTGTCAACTGGCTGTTGTCCTTCCAATAGCAGCATTTCTAATGTGTAAGAGAATGTCTACTCACTTATCAAGGCTAATTCAAATGATATCCCGATTCTCTTTCTATTGGTTGTAACTAATGTAATAATAAACATCAGAAACAATTACCGATATTTTTGAAATACAGTACATAATAAGAGGACATGGCATGCAGGTTAGACTTTCTGATTTACATGTGTATAAAACAAGATGATTGGAAACTACAAAGCTAGATATATTAGTAATAGCTCTAATATAAGTTTTTTAATTTCTACTAAAAAGCAGAATAGCAGTGAAAAGATTATCTAAGTCATGGAATTCAGAGCTGAGTGTTACATAATACAGAAGAGTGAAGGTCGAAAATCGTAAATATTTCCTTTTGAAATTAATACATTAAAACATAATATCAATCAACTATGTTTTGATGCTAAGTTTATTGACATACATTGATAATCAAGTAGTTTCATTAAATTTTCAATGAAACTCTGTAAAATGGTCATTACAAGCACACTTTTACCTACCTGTAACCAGAGGGTTAAATTATTATATATCATTTGAATTAAACTTTCACAACAAAAGTGTATTACAGATTAATAATAAGTGCCTACTGAAATTTGAGGACTTGGAAAAATCTCTGTGCATTAGCCAATTGCAAATTATTTTAATTTCTTGTTTGCAAATAGGATCTAACAGAGAAAAAATTTTAATTGATTAAAATAAACAAGAATTAATGATGAAAGGGTAGGGTAAAATAAAAAAAAATTACTTTAAACTTAGATATTTTGCAGAATATGAAACACATTGGATGTATTGGGTCGAGTAATGTGTTCAAGATTACTAACTAGAAATAGCCTACTTTTATATCTCTGTCCTTTTAAAGTTGAAACCAGTGTCTATATTAGTTAATATTAAATGGTCAATGAAATGTTCACTTGAGCTGGAGTCCTCAGTGTGTACATGACCAATTAGTGTTAAATGGTCGATGAAATGTACACTTGAGCTGGAGTCCTCAGCATGTACATGACCAATTAGTGTTAAATGGTCGATGAAATGTTCACTTGAGCTGGAGTCCTCAGTGTGTACATGATTCTTTACTTTAATGTTAATGAAACTTGTAATTGTTGAACAACAGAAGGAAAAGGAAAGTAAAAGATGGTTATATAGCCCATGAACTGAAATCATTCATCATCCAAAAAATTTACTAAAAATCTTATTCTTCTGTTGTAGTTTTTAATCCAAGTTATATATATGTAGTTTTCATATCCAACAAAATTTCTAAGTCATTCAAACCAATGGAGTAACCACACAATCTGGAAAAACCATTACACAAGTATATAACACAAAAACATTTTTTATTCAAGAACAAGTATGCATCTAGATATATAAAGTTTAAGCCCATTACCCCCCTCCTATTCAGGTTGTGTCTCCAACCTTTTCATTCAACCACACAAAAACATGCAACTCAAAGAATGGCTGTTATCTCCAGGATCAAGTCCCACTCAGTTTTCAGTACTCCAGTGAAAACAAGTCCAAACTCTAAGCCATTCCATTCCTAACAAATTAAATGACTTAAGCCACCAATCATCCTACCAGTGCGTTTCAGCACTCTTTCCAACATGTTGATATTCTTTCAAAATAAGAGGACTAAAATTTCACCAGTCTTGGACAAAGCTAAAATTATCGTCCATACTGAATTGCTCAGATCAATTTCAAACACTTTCTAAGCACTCCCAGTGTTTTTCAAGCACTTTATAGAATATAAAATCTATGTCAAAATCAATCAGATTCCATTAAAATTTTTATAAAATTCCTATTTATTTCTTCAACATATGAATGTAGATTAAAAAGAAAATAAAGACTATTTATTGCTCTGAACTCTGCAAAATGCATTAAAGTTAGATATATCGATATATTCTGCTATTATAATATTTTCAAGTACTTTTACATAGAAATGCCCCTTTTCAAGTTCTTTCAAGCCCTAGATATTCCATTCTCAATTTCAAGGACTTTCAAGGATGTGTATGCACTCTGTAAAATAACCTTCATGTTTTTTTTTAATTTCAAAATTCTTTTTTTTTTTTTCATTGTAGATACACATCAGCAGAGTGAATTAGGATTTTATCATGAATTACTTCTAAATTTTCTTTTTCCAACAGCAACTATGCCCCTCTGATACAAAACCCTTAATAGACAAAATAAGAGAAATGTGGGGGAGGGAGTACCTGTAACCTAACATAATCTTTATCACAGAAATTAACTGTTTGGATTGTAAACTATAAAAGGGTAACTACTATATGTTTTCAAATTTGTTTAGGTTACCGACCTAAATCTTTCCAGAAGGGCTTGCACCATATATGTTTTTGCACAGTAGGGTCAAACCTTTACTAGTTTCAAGACTTGAGTTAAACCTGATGTTTGTGGCTGTACAAAGTGCTCATTAGTGCTATTTTATCTTAGATATTCATTCAATAACACAAGAATGTAACGGTGTACAAATTCCTAGACTAGCTTCAGTTGAGTGTACTACTGCAAGTAAAAGAACAAAGTCACAGAACACCATTATAGTTAAAAAATAAATAAACTAGATCTTACATTGATTGAAAGAATATCTTTAATTAATAGTAAGTAAATTTTCACGGTTCAAGCATATTAGCCCTAAAGAATAAAAATATCAGATTAACATTTCACAAATGACCACAAAACAAACAGTGCAACACTGCATATACGAACTTACGTGTCAAGACTTCTACAAGCTGTAATTTGGCTATAACTGTATTTATCTTTTCCTCTGTAGCTGCCTGAGCAGTTTTTAACTGGGAATATTGGGTCAACAAATGGCTGACATTGTTCTGCAGTGTCTACATAAAAAACAAAAATAAACAAACAAATTACATTTTAAGTTATAAACAGTTAAATGACTGATGAACTAACAGTTCAGTTTGCAGCAATACCTTCTATCCAAATACATCGTATATTACAAAAGTTCATTGTCGTAATGTCCAGGACATAAAGCTTTTTAAGTTATGTTCCAAGAAATAAATAATATCCAGAAATGTAGAAAGTAAACTTTTATAAAATTAAGTAAGAGTAACTTGAACATATGTTAACTAAACATTTCTAATTTATTTACATTTTTTTTAGAAGAAATTGACTACAGAGCAATTAAATACACATTGAAAAAACTCAGAAAGTCTTACTGTATGACAAAACTATTAAACATACTTGTTTTTAATTCTTTGTCTTTACCACCACCATACCAATGTCCATAAAGTATTTTTATTATTTCTTCAACTTAAACATTACTATTTATGACATTTTATAATGTTCTCATGAATGCACCCAGAAATAGTCCTGGTGACCACCTTGTTAATGTGGTGTGTAATACCACCTCTGGCCTGAATAATGGCTACTATTCTAAAATACAGGTTTTTAACCATTTTTCTTATTTTAGTTGATGACGAGTGGTCTAAACTTCTGGTGGGCCCAGAGATCTTCTATAAAATTTAACCTAGGATCTGAGTGGGCCATGAGAGAGAGAGACAATAATTACTTTGAAATAAGACATGCATCATGCACGCTTTGAAGCAGGAAGAACTACTTCATTGGGACAATACATTTCTGCTGACCAATCCACCACAGGGGCCCGAGTGTGATAATTTAAGACCCTGTGATATGCGTGGGTGTTTAAATGTGCAAATGCTTCACATGTGGGTCTTATAACCAATGTGCAGGATGCAGCCCACACAATAACATTTCTATCACAATACTTCACATTTAGTACAACAAATTATCCATCTGACAAGTGGATGAAGCACACAGTCAACAGAATAACATCCCCACCCTAATCACAGTCAAACTGTTCATCTGACTGCCTCCAGATTATCTTTAGTTCCATAAATTTGTTGGTTACATAATAAAGAAGTCATATAGCATTAAAAAAAACTATCATCAAATGTGCAATTAATTTCACTAATTACTGCTGGGTTCCTTTGTATTTTAATTAGAAACTTCATGAGTTCACTCAGTGTCTTGTCAGTTTTTTCAAACTGTATTAGTCAAAATCAGAAGACTACTCAAGATGATACAATATGAGGACAATAGTGAACAGTATAAATTGTTTGTTTTAGGACAAAGCTACATTGGGCTATCTGCTGTGTTCACCATGGGCAATCAAACCCAGAAGTTTTAGCATTGTATGTCTGTTATCTGCTGTGTTCACCATGGGAAATCAAACTCTGAATTTTTAACACTGTATGTCTGTAAACTTACTGCTGTCCACCAGGGGACAAACAGTATAAAAATAAGTCAATAATGTCAGAGTTACACAGCAGTTAAGCCTACACTTATTTTCTAGATAACAGTTTGTTTTTTCTATTTTAAAAATGCATCTTAATACCTGTAATTCACCTTCATGATCCTTTAATAAGCTGCTAACTGTTAAATTAAGTAGCTGACCTACAACATTAGTAGCATTGCTGTACTGGTTCAACAGATGGTTGTCCACTGGGTCTTTCAACTGTATAAAGCAATAAACAGCAATTAATAAAACAATTATAATTAACCTGAAAACTATTAATTCAACATCTTTTTATTTTACATATCATTCTACAGTATTAATTTTAGATATATATTTTTGTAACTAATATTATTTTAACCACCTAACCTGAAAAGGAACAAGCTTGAATAACTGATATTAACTAGCTTACATGAAAGCTTTATTACTGTATTACTTTCTTAAGAGTCATGTCACACTTAAAAGTGGACTATCAAATGCAAAACAAAAATTTTAAAATTGCTGAATACATACATCTATTTTTGTTGTATATTTCAAGTACAGAGAAATAAAAAAATGGGTTAAACTTAAAATTTCTTAGAAAAATCCACTTGTAACACTACCGTAAGTTTAAAGGTTATCATTACGTAAAAGCCCTCTAAAAATGTTATCACAAAATACCAACATAAATTAATTAGAGAAAGTAATACCTTGACATCTTAGAAGAATTTTACATAGAAACACTAAAGTGTTATAAAGTGAACTCATAACATCAACAAACAACAACAAAAAAAAAACAGTTACAGGGATATATTTTTCCAGAAAGAACAAATTTTTACCTGTTGTATCAGTTCTAAATAGGTGTGAACGACATCTTGTGTTTGTTTCAGAATTTCTGTCAACGTAATATTGGTGTTGCTCATAGTTCCAATAGTCAGCGTGTTATTGAGCATATCTTTGATAGCCAGGTTAATCTACATGAAATCAATAACCTAAGAGTAACTTAGAGAATTTGAATTAAATTAATCAAAGTGCCAAGATAAGCTTCATTATTATTTAGTCATACATAGTAACAGTGATTTAAAAAACACTCTGCAACAGTATTAGTAATTGTGTTAAATAAAAAGACACGCACACAATTTGAATTACATAAAATAAGCCAAATTAGAAAATTTATTTCATTTCATTCAAACTCTGATTGCTCTAACTGTAACTCATAAGTGAAATGACTTATGAACAAACAATTTAAAAACCTGTTAATGACTGGCATTTCAGTGTCCTTACAGGGCATTATTCTCACCAACTCAAAATATCATGCAGTATATGTGAAGAGAGAGTCAAGGTGAGCAACAGAGGATGTATGCATCATTCAGAAGAGTTTATTTATTTAGGATCCACATACTGATTTTTCCCAGTAATCAACTACATATGACAGAATAGCCCACCCAGGCAAAGAGACATACACACCATCTATGCATGCCTGGTTTCCACTTTTAATGGTATTGTTGTTGTTTTTTTAGTTTGACCAAATTATTTTTCTTTGCCATACTCTTGGCATACTTCAGAAATGAACAGAGCTATTTTTTTCATAACTTGTTTTCATAGATGTTTAGAAAAAATTAAACCTTATCTATAATACATTCTCATTTATATAATCCTAGTTTTTCAGTAGAATTGGGCCTAGAAAAAGAGTTAAATAGGCTTAAGCAAGATAGAATGATTTTTTTAATTTAAATATCACCATTAACTTTATTCAGATTATCAAGCACTCTGAAAGTTTCTTTGCATGCTAAAGTACCATGATATTTCCAATAAAGCTTCCTTGCATGTTAAAGTAACATAATATTTCCAATAAGTTTAGACTATATTTATTTCTAAACTTACAGAACTTTCAATCATATGTTGTATAACCACTGTATTTAGGTTTGGAGTTTTCAGTTCAGTTTTAGCAAGTTCCAGATCCTTCTCTCCTGACTTAAGAGCTAGTATTTGTCCAGTGATGTTGTGGTACATATAGTCTTTGATCTTCATTATTTCAGACTAGAAATGATAGTTAACATTCTAAGTAATTACTTAATAAACATTATGAATAATGGTACTTAAAGTGAAACAACTATTGTCATAAAGTTGTATATAGTTTTCAAGAGTTAACACATAGAAAAGCTGCAACTTAATGATGTTTTTCACACATTAAAAAAGCACAGTAGACTCTTCTATAGAGACTGATATAAACACATAGTCCCCTTTAGCAAAACTGTCTATTCAAAATACTTTCTGATTCTTATAGTAAAATAATCAAAATCTCATATTAACTACACTCAAGATTAAAAATAAAAAGTACACAAATTTAGATTTACCAATAACATTACAATGCAACATAAGTACCCTTTATGTTGCTACTCAATAAATCATTACATTACATTACTAACTGTAAGTTTTTATTGTAAACTATGTTGATGAATATCTACAGATTTTTGCTTGAAGACGAGTGGTAATACCTGATTATTCCAGTTCATATAATACAAAGTGGACACCAATTTCTTAGAATTTTCTTTTTTTTTAAATGACAAAATGTTTAAGTTGGAATTCAAATAATTTTTTTTAATGTAGAAAACTCTAGAAAAACTACATCTTACAACAAAATAGTGACACGTCTAAAAACTACATCTTACAACAAAATAGTGACACGTCTAAAAACTACATCTTACAACAAAATAGTGACACATCTAAAAACTACATCTTACAACAAAATAGTGACACGTCTAAAAAACTACATCTTACAACAAAATAGTGACATGTCTAGAAAACTACATCTTACAACAAAATAGTGACACGTCTAGAAAACTACATCTTACAACAAAATAGTGACCTCTGTCTAGAAAACTACATCTTACAACAAAATAGTGACACGTCTAGAAAACTACATCTTACAACAAAATAGTGACCTCTGTCTAGAAAACTACATCTTACAACAAAATAGTGACATGTCTAGAAAACTACATCTTACAACAAAATAGTGACATGTCTAGAAAACTACATCTTACAACAAAATAGTTACATGTCTAGAAAACTACTCCAAGAAGTTTTTGCAATGGTAATTAATGTCACTAACGAGCTCTACTGTTATGAAATTTAACTTATTTTAGAGGTGTGTATCATTCGTTATAGTTAAGCCTTAGAATAAGATTGGTCTTTACATTAATTGAATTCACATGCTTGAAATCAAATCAGGATTTACATAAAAGTTTAAAAGCTTTAAATGAAAAGCTCTTTCTTAAGATCAGTTTAAAATATTTACATAGAAACTGTTCAGATCTTCTACACTCCAGCTTGCACTGCCATTAATTTTCTCCAGAAGAGGTAATATTTCATTAACCTTTGAGATAACAGGCAAAGTTGAAATGTTGATGTTGTCAACAGCTTCGGCAACCCTTAATAACTCCTAGAGAAGATAAAATAATGATTAACTGGACTACTTTTGCCATTTTTATCCAATAGACAATAAAAAAAAGTGAATAATATTATTTAAACCATTTGATTCAACATATTTTTGAATTCAATTTTGAAACAACAATAACACAAAAGTATTTTAAACCATTTCTGTTAAAGTTTAAAACATTTTATGCCAGAGCTGTTTCTAATGTAAAGAATTTACTGTTGTAAGTTTAACAAAACAACAAAACCTTTTCTTACTCTTTACATAGCACTAATCAAATTTTGGACATGAACATGAATCCTAGGACATTTCTTGGGGTTTATGGTTATGTTCCTACAATTTTTAATGCACACCATTTCAGTTTTCTATAAAATAAGAAACACATGACTAATTTTTTTGGAAATTAACAAAACTTAAGTCTAACTCAGAAATATTTTTTTCATAATGTTTCTGTAAAAATCTTTTAAGATAGTGTGTCAAATCTGTACTTCAATTTCAATTCCTATCTATTATCAGCTGTAAAAAAAAAAAAAAAACACATGGTAGGCTCTCATTAGCAATTACTGATGGCTAATCACGAAGTGTATTTTGAGTATTTCTCACAATTATTATAGGATTTTCTTTCCATTGGTTCTAAAACTTAAGATTTATTTGTAACTAGTTAATGTACCTGCACATGGAACTCAAAACAGCCCACCAGGATTGACATGGGAGTGACAGATCTAAATGCCAACTTTCTTATGTCACTCCCCAGGAAATCCCAATGGTGCCTACAAGGTTTAGTGACAATTGGTCCAGCAGTTTACCAGTTATAAGTAGATGCACACATATACACACACACACACACTTTCATGAAATATTGATTCAGATGCAACTTAACTTCTCTACTCTTCACTACAGAAAAACAAAATTTCCTTACTATTAAATTTGGTTTTTCTATAAGATTGTTATAGAATTTTTTTTTTCTTTTATATTTGAAAACAAAGTTTTAGTAGCACTAAGCTATCACAACTCTCTCCACTTCCATCCATCCAATATGATAAGAGGGGAATGTTATGTCATTTCCTTTATGACTGAGATAAAATAATTGCATTTTCCTTAAAATAATTAATCTGAGTAAGATACATTTTAAATTCTCCTTCATAATGTGTTACATTAGAATATATTAATTCTCTGAAGTGCAAAAAATATTTAAGACATTATTAGAATAACCTTACATCATGAAATATACGTTGTTCCTTTCTAAGTTTAGCAGTTTGGTCTTCACCAGGTGAACTTGATAGTTTTTCAGTCACATTTGACAAGGCTTGAATTTGTACCTAAAGGATTAGATGAAAAACTTAGTATATGTTTCTACATTAGCTTTGTCATCAACCAAGCTTTATGCTACCATAACTATAACATCTTTTACATATTGATTTTAAGAATTGCATGAACTTAACGACACTGGGAATTTTTTCCCTTTCAATTTTTTTATATTTTCAACAATGTTATCCATGAAAAATAAAAAATTTGGACAAAAATAAAAGTTCATAGTTATTTATCAACATTGATAATCATCAACTGAGATGAAATTTAACTTGAGAGTACAAATGATTATGTGAATGACTATTAGCCATGATAAACTGTGATTTTAAACTCTCATATAGGGCATCATTCATCCCAAATGCAGAAAAAAAGATTTTGAACCAGTAGTTTTCAAACCATGAATCCTCAAATTCACAGTCCAGGGAAGTCAATAATTTATTAGTCTGTTGACCTTTTGGCTTCAACCAATTTCAAGTAATAATCTCTCTTTTTGTTTAGCAATGATGACGACCCAGTATTTTCATTAGTAAAGATCACTGATGAAAATTCATTATCAGGGTTAGTATTCAAGCACCATCTCATCGAAATACATAAAACTAATTGAGGTTATTGGAGTCAAAAGAAAACCAAATGGAAGATTTTCACATTTCTGAAGAGGGTGCTGTTTATATATAAATAATTTTGATATACAAATATGATTAATATAAAAAAGCAATTTTTTGTATAAGATAATTTCATGTAGATTATGATTTGAATATTTTGGCTTTTTACAGCATTATTTCTAAATAAGGTATTCATTACTGAAAAAAAATAAGCTTAAAAAATGTTAGAATTTCCTTTAACAGAAAAACAATTTCATAAAGTCATTCATATGGAGTTTAAAAAACACAAGAGTCAGTGGTAAAGAAACCTATGAGCATAATGAGGAACAAATATAATACAGAACTGTCAATCTTAATATAAACACGATCCATTATGTATGTGTGTGTTAGCATCTATCACCAAGTTAGCTGACTCGATTACTCTATTTTTTAGTAAAGCAACTGGAAAATATCCAATAGTTTTTGTTTTAGGATTTTTATCTGAGAGGGGGGTGGGTGAAAAAACACGATCCTAAAATAGAGTACTATTTCCACTTTTTCACAGACTTTTGGCTTTGAACTTAGAAACAAGTACTTAATCAGTTAAATGAGTCAATTATTACTTTCCACAAAGCAGGAAGCAATTGACATCTAATGAGTTCATTAGTGGTTTAATAATAAAAGAAAGAAGGAAGGGGACATTATCTAACATTGTACTTCATACAATTTCTGTTTCCTTAACGGGTACTGTCACCTAGTATGATATAAAAGGTGAACTTGGAATACTTGTTTGTCTCGGTCTTATTATTTGTTTCTTGTTTAAGTTTTGTTTTTTATGATTATAAATGATGTAAAATAAATCAACCTATTGCCCTTATTTAGCAAAGATTTGAAAAAATTATTATTACCTTTGAAAAAAAAAGTATTTAATTAATTAACATAAAAATGAAAAAATAGATAAATATATAAAGAAATGCAATAACCAAGTGGTCATTCAGAGTAAGCTTTAATAAGACCACAAAAGATACTCCAGAGGAAATTAATTCAACAATTATAGAATGTATAACAATAATAAAAAAGGCATATACATGAAAAAACTTAAAGTATTCAAATTTCATCTGTTATAATCACAGTACTGTACTGTTTAGCCTCATTATAGGTTATTGACATTTGACCCCCATATTTTAACCCCTCCTCAACTAGTATTGTTTGAATATTTTGATATGTCATGAAAAACTGGATGAAAATGTTTTCCTGTTAAAAATTAGTTCAAACCCCCAGAACTGTGGCAAAAGATGAGGAAATTCCAGTGTTTTTTACTTGTTTTTCTTAAGTAGATTCCTCTTTTTGTAGACGTAAATACTCCATGTAAAAATTCAAAATATTCAAACAGAATCATGAAATTCTCTTACAGTTGGAGCAGTAAGACATACAAAAATGACTTTTTATAATAATCTTATTTGTATATGCAAAAATGTTTTCCTACACAATAGTGCTCTCTCCTATAATTGTCCGTCAGTTTTTTTTCTGTTGTCCCGATTGACCTGAAATTAGTGCCAAAAAATTCAATTTCTCTACATATTTCGTTTAAATTCTACTTGCTTTCTAACTCTGTTATTGGCTTTTGATCTTGCTTGTCTTGCTAATTAATAATAAACATTTAAAACAAAACCAATTTCACACTTTCACCTACTTATTCCTGCAGCAGATTAAACCTAAACTAAGCTGATCTAAGCTACAAAATGTGGTAACAAAAACAATTGATCCTAAACACCTACTAACTATTATTAACAAACATTAATATGTGGCTTATTAAATACTTTTGGGTAACATTTTTGAATTCTGAGTTAGCTAGAGATCACATTTTAAGGTTCATTACCAACTGGTAATGAGAGATCTTCACCAATGCTGTTCATATTTTAGCATGAGAAAAATCAAGAGTCAAAAAGTAATTATTTTCTTAAAACATCTATGGGGAGCAGTTTAAACCTATAGAGTTACCACATTTTTTCTAAACTATCTAAGCACCAAATTGCCCATGAGTCCATGACTTTGTTAGTTATACATATACGAGTCGCATTAAAAATGTGAATAAAAATACCATCAAATATTGCGATTAATCCCACTAATTATTGCTGGGCTTCTCTACGTACGTGATATAGCAAATTAGTAATTTCATTCTTTGTTTTCAGCTCCTTACATTATGTGTAATGATAGGCAAAAACATAAAAGTACTCAATACGATGGAATATGTGGACTCTAATGGTAATGAATGGTATAAAAACAAGTTCATGTTGAATCAGTACTTTACTGTTTTCTGTAATTCCAGCTTTCTCTAGGTGAAGAAAAAAAACACCTACCTGAAAATTAGTAAGGCTTTGTTTTAAGCCTTCCTGAGATGTCTGTAGAGAGGCCTGTTGATACTTCATGTCCTTTATTGTTGCCTCCATGGCAGTAATTTTGCTTCCAAAACTAGCTACATTCTGTTAGTATAAAAAAAAAAACACTGTAGCTCTACTACCAATTCTAGCTACATTCTAAATTATAGGATGGATGGGCCAGTGGTAATTAAACTGTGGTCCATAGTGGTCTGTAGGTTGGTCCAAAATGCAAGTCACTGACATGCAAGGCCATACCAGAGAACAGAATAGGTGGGGTATGACTGTTATGTGGTCCACATGGTCTTTTGTCTCATCAAAGTAGTCCACAGACAAAAACGTTTGAGAACCACTGGGCTGGACCATAGATCTAGTTCCAACTTTAATCACCCCAGAAAGAGACAGCCAAGACACTTATGTGTTACACATACATATAAGGGCAGTAGATCTGTTTATGACAAATTTCTCACATACTTTGGAGTAGTTTGGGGGTTCTCATATCACCACATCTGACAGAATGGTGTTTCCTAGACATAAGAAAACTGAGAAATGTACAGGCACGAGTTATTTAAACATGATAAAATATGATAGTAAATAAATGACTAGAAAGATAGATGAATGAAATTAAGTGACCATAACCTTTAATGTGAAAATAAAAAACATTTGAGACCTACGCCATTCAATAGGTTGTACACTTTACCAACATTGGTAGAAGGGCTTAAGCCTGAAACATTGACAAGTGTTATTCTCTTAATTTTAAGGTTCCATCTTTCTAGTTTTTTTACTGACTAATGTTATGATCCATCCAGTTGGGAAGCATATCATGAGTCTAAATCATTATTACTGCTGTTCTGTTGGCATGAAAATTCAGGTTTGTTTTTAAAATCTTGGAAAATATAGCCCTTGGTTTGTCAAGTTCAAGAGGAGTCTTTCTTAGAAATTTCCTGAGCTACATTTAAAGACCTCAATTACTGGGTGGTGACAGTATCTTCACTTACACTGGATCATCCAGTGCTCCTCTTAGGATAAACAGATCCTGTTTCTTTGAACTGCTTATGACATTACTTAATTGTATTATTTGATGGTGCCCATACATGACAGACTTGTCAGAATTAACACTGTGAGAGAACACTAAATTTGAATTCCAAGAATCACAGAATGTGCCAACATTCTGTTGATAGGTATTTATAGATGACTTGTAAGTTCACCTCGAAAGCAGTAATAAAATTAGTGATTTTTTTCAGTCAAAAATAAACAAATACTTACATTTTGTAAATTCAGAAACAAATAAAAGTTAAAAGAAAACATTATTTGCATCTTAGAAATGCTTCCATTAAGAGTTTTTTTTTTAGTTAACAGTAAATGATGAACTAGAAGGTACATGTTTCAGTAAAATTTTAGCCCAAGTAGATAAAAGTAGGTTTGAAAATTTTAATGGATTGCAACTGTATAAAGCCTGTTCATTCAACAGGAAGTTGCAGTCCATTAAAGATCTCAAATCTAGAATGTACAGATTTTAGCAAGTTTCAACCACCAATTTTTTAAACTGAAAACTTTTGTCAAACTTCTTCAACTGAAAGTATGTTATGTACAGGGTGTACAGAAAGTCTAGAACCAAGCAGTTTCCAGCTTTTCTTAATTTCAGATACGTGACTGATTTCGGTGCTCAGCATAAGAAGGTCAAATTAATCCTGCTGTTAATCCAAATTTTTTTTTAATTACAAGAACAGCATGTGGAACACATTCTGTAAAATGCACTGAAGTGCTTTCCGTTCCAAACTTTTCGGACACCCTGTACATACCTGTCTGTTCAACTTGAAGTACTAGGTCTAATCTACGGAAATAAGAAATTAATTTTTAATAGATAAATAATAATAATAAGCTGGTCAATTGCTAGAATATTATTACCTCAGTGTTTTAAATGAGTCATGCTTAAAGTGTTATACCAAAACACACACACACACACACACACACATATATATATATATATATATATGTATAAGTGAATCATTTTATGTGGAAATCAGTGTGTTACGTCTTCGTTTGTTAATTAACTTCCCGTAACTTCGTTCCGACGAAACTTTAGCGACACAAGTCCTTACTT